ACCAAAAAGAAAAAACGAGAAAGAGAGAGAAAAAAGGAGAAAATCCCAACGTTAGGCACACGCAGTTTTGGTGTAACTGGTGTTTTGGGACTGTGCTTCGGTTGCAGGGGCGGTCTGCTTGCCGGGGGCACGGGGGAGCGGTACGACCAGAGAGAAGTCTGTCATCTCTGATCGTTTGTACCACTGGGAGAAGAGGAAAGAAGAGGTAGGGAAGGTTTCCTTGGCGCGCACCTACCCTTCTGGCGGGAAGGCTTGCTGTGATTGCTGGACAGGTTTCTTCTGGAGGGTCCCATCTCTCTGGAGTAGCTGCAGTGGAGTTGAGGGCAGGTTCTCCGGTGAGGTAGGAATGTGCGGGAACTCCGCCCTCTGGGCACAGTCACACAAACCCAGCAAAACAGCCACAGCCAGCCCTAAAACCTCTAATGATCTTCACCTTCACCTCTTCCCAACCCAGTTCTCCGCCACTTTTTGGCCCGTTTACCCAGGTACCTTCACCACGGAGCGGGGCGGGGGGGGGGGGAGCTTTCGCAACCCGGACGTTTCAGGTCGCGAAACCGCCCAGAAGCGCAGAAGCTGCTACAGACGCTCCTGCGTGGACAGACCCCTCCGCAGGGTTGTGCGTGCCTATATGTATGTGTACATATTTATCCCCGTTCGTTGAATTCGTAGTCGTGTAACGTGTATTCGCACACACTTTCTCCCTCTGGCGGGTGCGTTACTCGCCACTACGCAGCCCGGTACGGAGCCGCCACTATCTACAGGCAGACTCTCTGATTTCATTTTTCTACTCTTTTTCCCCGTCCTAATGGAAAATACGAATAATTCAATATAATCGCCAACAAAACAGCGAGGGTTGCTCGATGTTCTTTCTTCAGCAAAACTCTGGTGTGGTTCAGTCAAAACGTAACCGGAGTTCAGTGGGAGTTTTGCTGGAGGGAACAGTGACTACGTGGTGATTGAGACCTCGTATGACCACAGGTGGTGAGGGGGTGTGTACCTGAATCATAATTTCTGACATAAAGCTTGATAATCATCAGAAGTTATAAAGAGCAAAATGACGTCCCGGTTAAACTGTTTTTTTTCAAGTACCGGATTTAAAAAAAAAAAAATCACTCCCCCAAACAGCAGTTTTGTGCCATTTAAGGCAAAATATATTATTGTTCACTTCCCTTTAAACATTTGCGTAAGAATACATTCCACACAAAGGATGCTACTTTACTGAAACAAAAGAAAAGTATTTTAAATATGTCAAAAATTGGTTGGCTAAATATCGCATTGTGGATTCGGTTACAGTTTATTATCCCCCCAACATGTTTGCAAAGGCAATCTTAAAATCGTAATTGGAGGTTTCTTGATGAGCAGATTTCTTCTATGATCTATGCGAGCAAAGTTAATCACCTCAAACATCAACTAGGAAAATAACAATAGCTCCTTAATTCCATAAAGACCACCCGTCCCCCACAAACACTCTAGATTAGGAAGCGCTAAAGAAACAAGGCTAAGACCACGCAGCATCCTAGAAATGCACGGATATACATATATATATATATAAAATCCTAAATGCTTAGTTTGAGGATTTGACGTATAAACCACCATGTAAATAAGTATCAGATAGCAGAATTATTTTCTGCTTAAAAAAAAAAAAAAAAAAAAAAAAAAAAAAAAATGAGAAGAACGAAAAGGCCGCAACCAAAACCACCACCTCACATTCAGTACGAAAGGAGCCTGTGCAATGATTAGCCTAAAAGTCGTCCTCAGCCAACAAAAGGGCTTCTCTGGCTGGGGAGCAGGCAAAGGTAAAGGCAGATTTGGGGCCTTGGCAGTCCTGCTGCTATCCACGACAACTTTAGCTTTGGGTTGTTGTGGGTTTTTTTCCCTTGACAAAGACAATGTCATTGCTGGTAATATGTGTATGGAAACGTGAATAAATTACCCGCTCAACAACCACCCCTTCCCCCAGCTTAGGAGAACGAGGGCAAAGTCTGTGGCACCTGAACTGCTTAAGCAGCACTTTGCTACACTGAACCTAAAGGAGCGCATGGAGAGTGAGCGCTTGCCTGAACGAAGCCTGGAGAGCCATATATCAGGGCTACCCTTTGCAGGAATTATTGTTCATCACGCTTATCTAATTAATGCTTATTAGCTAGCCCCAAACTCTGACATGGTGAGATTGTGCTTTCCTCCAACCTGACTTGTCTTTTTCCTCCTTTTAGTACACTGTCAGAGGATTTTTTTACATTGCGAACTAAAGAATACTTTTAAGTACGTGCTATTGGATTTCCTACAGCACACAACCAATTGGAAGTGGTAAATAATAAATCATTTCCTTTGTCAGCTGCAGCAGATGCCATTCTTTCAACTTGCTTAGGCACAAGTATCCAGAACGGGGTCTCGAGGCTTCGAGAGTTTAAATCACACCTATTTCATTTTATTATTTCCGGTAGGTTGGTTGCAAATGAGTTTTGTTTTCTAGTTTGTCCGCGATCACTTTTTAAAATTACAATAGAGGAAAGAATATGGGGGAGGGTGGGCGCTTCCAAGCGGTGGTATCATCTCTTCATCCCCAAACAAAGCAACCTTTTTCTCATAGCGATGATTAATTTCGAATTGCAGAAGTGAGAGTGAAAGCCAAGAATATCAGAGATTTCTCTCCTTCTCCCCCACCTAGTGCAGAGCTGGGTGTCCCATCTCTCATCCATAACCTTTCACTCCTCTCTGTTTCCTGCAGATCTGCTTGCATCTGTTTATTTATTACTTTTTTTCGGAAGATTTCCCCGCCCTCCCGTTATTCTTTCATCAAGACAAATATTGCAAGAATTCAGATTTGCTATTGCTTCC